TTGTTGTCGGAATCTGGGTGGAGGTCACTCGCTCACCATTATTATTATCGTCATTTTGTGTTGGGACTGCGTCGATTGTACCCCTAGTTGGTCCACTCTCTAGGGGGCGTTGGCATTTAACCCTGGTGCGTTTCTAGCGCGGGCGATCTGAGGACAGTCTCTCATGAGATGCCCTTGCCGGTCGCACAGATCACATGCCCGGGGGGCGGCCCCATAGGAGGCCCCTTGCCCGTCCCTTCTCTCCCCGATACGTGTCTGCCCAAGCTCTGCCCCCAATCGGGACACTCGTCCAATTAGCCCGCCTACTGTGGAGTGCAGCTCTCCCATTTCGGACTGAATGGTCTCAACTGTAGACTGTAGTTTGGTCATGTTGTGGTTCGTTTCCTCGCATACGTGGGCCAGCTGGCCGGCTATATCTCCCATGCCGGTCTGTAGCCCTGCTACCCATCCCAGGGTTGTCTCGCGGGATCCCGGAGGCTCCCTTGCCCGGCCCCTTACCGTACTGGTGAGCCCCTCCTCCTCCTCTTCCTCCTTTGGGAGCAGGCTCGCGATGGCGCATTCTCGTCCCAGCCCCCAGAGCTGCGCGCGTTCACTGGCAAGCTCCTCGCACTCAAGCGCGCACTCGACAAGGGTATCAAAGGGAAGGCTTGCACTACCCACTTTGGGCTGCCACCACGTGGTGCAGGCTAAATACCAGAGGGTTTTGTCGGCAGCCAGCTCGTCAATTACCTCTGTCGCGAACTCTGGATGGGCGATCCGTGTCAGCGATCGCACGTCTTCAGCATAGTCGCGAAAGTCCTCGCCGGGTTGGCGTCGGCGCACCTCTAAGGCCGTCTTTGCCTGTCTCACATTACACATGGTTTGGGTGCTTGCGGGTAGAGCCTCCACAAAGTCAGCTGCCCACCCATCTAGATTAATAGTAAGTTGCCATAATGACTGCGCGTCCGTCCAGCCATTAAGCTCTTTAGCCCCTATGATGTTGTGGGCAAACGCTTTCCATGAAGGGGTCCCCATGCCGGTAAACCCATACCTTATTTTCACGTGCAGTAACGCGCCTCTCTCCTGTGGGGATATGGGTGTTCGTACCGCTTCTGACGCCATGTTGTCGGGGAGGCTGACCTCCGACTCCTCGCTCCCTGGAGAGCCATTGCTCTCCTCTCGCGTGCTCGGGGGAGGGTTACTGCCCTCCAACCCCCCTCCCCCCCCTCATCGCAGTCCCTCTTGGCATAATCCGCGGCTGGGGCGTAGCCACCTGGGATCAATTCGCACACACTCCCACTCGCGTGATCCTCTAAACGTTATGCACGCCGTACGCAGTCGCGCACACTCATGCACCCGCAGCCACCAAAATTCGATGCGGCTACCTGCCTGGCGCCGTGCACCAATCGCACGCGCGGGACCCGGGGTCGGGGATCAGAGGGCAGGGGCGTCACTCGTACGTGCGCAGCCGATTGGAGGAGGTGCCCCGGAGCTGGTTTAAAGGGCTGTATGAACAACCTCGCAGGTACGCCCTTCGTGCACCTCTCGCACACGCTAACCACGAGCTACACATCTAATCTCGCATGCACGCCGCCCGTCTACCTCACGCACACTTTAAGCAGAGGCGGCACAGGTGATCTCGCGTGCACGATGCCCGTCTACCTCGCGTACATGTTAACTATGAGCTACACGCAGCGGCGAGCGCACACACGCGGGTAAAATACACGCTCGTGCGCAAACACAGGATACCACAACGAGAAGGCTCACAGCACCATGCACTCCTCTCCGCATTCGCAGGGACGACACGACAAGGTTTATTGACTACTTGCGATTTATTCTCCGCGAATAACGAAGCGAAACTACCCGTGTCAGTGTGGGCCAGCAGGGCAGGTCTAACCTATCTCCCGGTGGTCTAGGACTCAATCTGTCCCGTCTCTCCCTAATCACTCTCCCTAAGGATATTCCCCTTAATTTCACCTCTCTCCTGCGTACTCACGGTTCGACTCCGAGGTGTAGGAAGCTGTGGAAAGGCGAGGCTGCACGTAGTCCTCGCTGGGAACGGGGCCTGGCTGCGCTGCGACTCGTCTCACGGACAATCTAGTGGCAGGCACGATGACTCCTCCGATCCTTGACCCAGAAGAACACGACTGACTGCCCCTACCTTCCCTGCCCTTTTTATTGTCCTTACATCAACGATAACTTGCCGCTAATCCGCTGGCCTTTCGTCCAATCAGAAGCCTCGAATTTCCCGCTGCTCTCTAATCGGATCAGTTCTCTCTCCGACGTCCGCTTTTAACTCTTTATGCAAGCGCATTCGTCCCGCCGCTCGTTACTCCGCCCCACCCCCTACCTGCCTGCTGACCCGTGTCGAGTGTGCCCCTCTATCCGCGGCGGCTGAGCAGCCCCGTTGTGACCATGCAACTACCATCCAGGTCACGGCGCCGCGGTGCGAGCTAGCCTCGGGGGTCGCCCAATTCCCTGGTCGCAGGAAACTGTGAAGATTGGAGGGCTTCCGGGTGAAAGCCTGTCGGCCAGGTGACCTCCCCTCGGGGCTCTATGTGTGTGTGTGTGTTCATGTCGGGGGGTGGTGGGGGAAGCGCCGCGACGGAAGCTGGGCGGCTTTGTTGCTGCAGCACCCCCGCCGCAGGCACGGCTCCGACGGAGCAGCTTCGCTGTTGCAGTACCACTGCCGTAGGCATGGCTCCGATGGAGCGGCCTCGCTGCCGTGGCACCACAAGAGGTGGCGCTGCTACCACGGCGCCGGCCGGGCGGCCCCGCTGCTGCAGCACCACTGCCGCAGGGGCGGCTCCGACGGAGCGGCTTCGTTGCTCTGGCACCTACAAAGTTGCCCAAGACAGATAACGGAACTTTGTGTGCGGCACGCGAGGCGGGCTGCTGCATCGCAAGACCGTGAGAGGTTGCAACAGCTTGGGCAGGCCTTGATGCAGCAGTGGATAGATCGTGGCTGATTATGATGTTTTTTGATGTGTGCATGAGTGTGGTTGTGTGTGTGTGTGTCGGGGAGCGGTAGTGTAGCCGTTAGTGCGCTACGCTTCGAACCTGGCGACCGGAGTTCGATTCCCGCTCATGGCCAACATCGGTGACGATTATCTGAACCGATCCTGGGCCTCTCCTAGGTCGACTCAGCCTCAAATGAGTACCTGGTGCGGTGTGTAATAAACATCGCCACTGGGGAGACAAAGGCGGCCGTGGGTGGTTCTGGCCACCCACTCCCTCGTGTGCCGTTCTGGCCTTCATAGGTGCTTGCTAACAGCACTTGCTCCAATGGTCTGTTAAGGCTAGACGGGGGATCTTTGTCCTTGTCTTTTTGTGTGTCGGGAGCGGTAGTGTAGCGGTTAGCACGCTGCGCTACAAACCCGGCGACGCGAGTTCGATTCCCGTTCACGGCCACAGTGACGATTATCTGAACGGGTCCTGGACCTCCCCTAGGTCGACTCAGCCTCAAATTAGCACCCGGTGCCGGGTGTAAAACATCACCACTAGGGAGACAAAGGCGACCGGGTGTGGTGTTGGCCACCCACCCACTCGTGTGCCGTACCGGTCTTCAGAGGTGTTCGCTAACAGCACTTGCCCCAACAGTGTTACAGGCTATACGGGGGATATTTGCCTTTGTGTAGGGAGTACCTTTGTGTTGTCGTTTAAGGCTGTGTTTTGTGTATGGTGGCACTTCTGTTGGCTCTGTGGTTGCAAGCGGAATGATGGACAAACATCATTCAATGGTCTGGATGGCGCAAAACACAAAATACTCATTAGCACCGTTGTGGAGAATATAAGAGATCAGCAGACAATGTCTCCTCCAGATGTCTGTCTCTCGACATAAAACATATAAAAGTATATAAAAAAAACAAATGCAACTACCTCACGGTCTTCTGGGGTTGCATAACTTCAGCAAGCATTGACCCAAAATACAGTAAAGCAAACTCTGGACCGGCTTCGACATAGTGTGTCTCATCGGCAGTGTCAGACTTGCTAGAATCAATGCTGCTCAATTGCTAGCCAGATCTCTTTTGGATAGTCCACAGGCTGATGGTTACAAAATATTTGTGAAGATTATGCAAACTGATTCACATCAATGCACAAGAGAAGTTTGGTGAGTAATAAAATGTATATTTTAATTCAATCACCTTCAGTAGGTGTCTCTGACGAGCAATGATAACAAAAATACATATGTATGTTGAATTTCTATCCCACCGTACGTTGCCAAACGTGCGAATCGGAGGTGCATATACATACATACAGGACATACAAAAACAATGACCCCATGAAACGTTTTTAGAACTGCTCTCCAGATCACGTCATCTAAAAGAAAAAAAACAGTGTTGTGGAAAGCGTGTGTTTTTAGACTTTTGGTTTTCCTCCTTTGACTATTGGTTCTGGAGATTTAGGCTACAAAGTAATACGCACGGCATCAGTGGCATTAACAGTGCGGTGTGTGTGGCGATAACATTAGGGTTCGGTGTGTTAAGAAAGGCATGAGATCAGTGCCCTGCACTGACGTTTTGGAAAGGCAAATGTTTTTTCCATCTAAACAGGTGCAGGGCAGTGGTTTTGCTTAGTCCCCGGGTTCGTTTGGGGTGCCACGGTGGTGAGATGTTATCTCCCTCGCCTGGTATGCAGCAAGTCGTGGGTTCGATCCTGACCCTGACACCTGCTGCTGTATATTTGGAGTGTGCGTGTCTCTCTCTCTCTGGTCGCGTGGATTTTTCTCCGGGTCCTTCGGGTTTTCCCTCCCACCATGCCTACCGCCTCCCCTCCATCCTTGCCCCCTCCCCTCCCTACCTACCCCCTCCCCTCCATCTCTACCCCCCCTCCCATCCATCCCTACCCCCTCCCCTCCATCTCTACCCCCTCCCATCCATCCCTACCCCCTCCCCTCCATCCCTGCCCATTCCCCTCCATCCCTGCCCCCTCCCCCACTTTCCGCCCACCACCCCTCCCACCCCTCCCAGGTACAATTACATCACCATGACCCAATAAGCACGAGGGAACCCTTCCTTATATTTTGCGCCGACAAAAAGTCGTGACTCACGACCCCCCATATAAGACGCCTGGCTATTTAAAGAGCCTTAACAAGCAGCTGATAACGTGATCCCGAGCGGCTGCTCTTCTTAGCTTGAGTTGCCCCGTCGTGTTTTGCAGGTACAGTAGGAAGGAAGGCGTGCGGAGGACAACATGGCCAAGACTCGGACAATCTACCTGCAGCTGGACAAGGTCCTGGAGGAGGTCTTCGTCCTGGGCACTGAGCTGGTCATGGACATTTACCAGTGAGTGACGCATGGCGCTGTGTGTGTGTTACAAGTGAGTGATGCATGATGCTGTGTGTGTGTACCAGTGAGTGATACATGGAGCTGTGTGTGTGTACCAGTGAGTGACGCATGGAGCTGTATGTCTACCAGTGAGTGACACATGGAGCTGTGTGTGTTACCAGTGAGTGATGCATGGAGCTTTGCGTGTGTACCAGTGAGTGATGTATGGAGCTGTGTGTGTGTACCAGTGAGTGATACATGGAGCTGTGTGTGTCACCAGTGAGTGACGCATGGAGCTGTGTGTGTAAGTGATATATTTGAGCTGTGTGTTGAGCAGTCGTAAAGTGGTCGAACAGAGCCGGTATACACCTGTAACACTGTTTTGTTGTCGTTCCCGCGCACCTCCGATTAGCGCGGTTGGCTACGTACGGTGCGAAAGAAAGTTCAACATACATATAACTGTTCCCACTCCGATGCTACGATGTTTCCGCAGAGGGGAAACTGATAGTTAACGGTGGGAGGGATGTTGTGTGACAAAGTGGTCTCATGCCGGAACTTTTTACATTTTGACCTCTGATGTCATAAAGACATGAGTGGGCACGTCACCACACCCGGCCTTCAAGGGGAGTGTAGCTGATCAGGTATTTTCATCATGACTGCCTCCCCTAGTGGCCACCGATCCCGATAATTATGCTGGAGGTCGTGGGTTCAATCACGACTCTGACGCCTGCCGTATATTTGGAGTTCGCGTGCCTCTCTATAGAGATGTTAACTACCTCGCCTGGTGTACAGGAGGTCATGGGTTCAATCCCGACTCTGACGCCTGCTGTATATTGCGAGTTTGCGTGTCTTTCTCAATAGAGATGTTAACTTCCTCGCCTGATATACAGGAGTTCGTGGGTTCAATCCCGACCCTGACGCCTGCTGTAAATTTGGAGTTGGCATGTTCTCTGTTTCCGTGGTCGTGTGGATTTTTCTCTGGGTTCTCCGGTTTTTCCCTCCACATTTAGAAACATGCGTTTTAGAGTATTTGGCTGCTATAAATGTACACGTTGATAAGCCACTTCGTTTAGATATAAATTGTGACCAGGTCGTTACTGAAAACGAGTTCCATATCTCAGTGGGCCTTACCTGGTTAAATAATGTAAAAAATGTGTCATTTTTCTCCATATGTTTACACTACATATTCATAATATATTCATAATACATATACCAACGCCCCACATTGTCTTCATTGTTTGCCCGTCTACAGGGCGAGCAATAATAAGCGTACGCCAAGGACCGTAGTGGGATGGTAGTTGTAACAACGGCGGTGTAGCTATCGAGTGTGCAGGCATTGCCACTGCACCCGGGGGCCCACGGGCCGGAGGCACTCAGGTGCCAGCTATGAAGAGTGGTTTGCAGTTGGACAGCGTCCCCCATCGCAGTAATCTTTATCTCAACCACTATCACCGTATGTACAAATATATAATGTACAACTATATATTGTAATAGCTATACGGCAGTCCTCGGCTTACGAGCCTAATTCGTTCCTAAGACCGGTTCGTAAGTCGAACGGTTCGTAGGTAGGAACACAATAACGGATTATTTAAATGCCCATGCGGTCGGTGTTATGAAGTCTGTTACGGTTTAGCAAAACAGGAAAGCATCGTTAAACTCAATTAAGAAGAAACATTGTACATTTGCACGTAACACTGTAAAATAATACTGTGTAGTAAATCTTCATATATATAAAAGGCACAGTTGTGAATACGTGTGTCTGTTCAAAATGTTTAGCGTACTTCCCGACGTGCAACAAAATGGAAATTTGCCATGTGGGGACTTTCCAGGCTGTACACCATGCAAATATTATACAAAGACAATTTTTTTTTGGGGGGGGGGGGGTGCTCAATAATGCATATATGTTTCGCACGGCTAGTGAGCTGTGACGTCAAATCTGTCACGTGATGCGCGCATGTCGAAGCGTAACGCATTGTAGTGTAGTGGTTAGCGCGCCACGCTATGAACCCGGCTACCCGAGTTCGATTCCCGCTCACGGCCACCACCGGTGACGATTATTTTAACCGGTCCTGGGCCTCCCCTAGGTCTACTCAGCCTCAAACGAGTAACTGGTGTGGTGTTTGAACATATCTCACTCTTCTAGTCTCTCCACTGCTAGCCTGCCTGTCACGCTTTGCTCTCTCTGCTGCTGGCCTACCACTACACACTCTGATAGCTTCCCACCATACACTCCGCTAGTCTCTCTCCACTGCTAGCCTATTACTATACACTACGGATAGCTTCTCCACTGCTGGTATCTCACTATATCTTCTGCTAGCTTCTCTACTGTTAACCTTCCACTATATACTCTGCTAGATTATCCACCTCTAACTATACGCTCTGCTAGCTTCTCTACTGCTAGCTAGACTCTCTGCTAGCTTCTCTTGTCTTTCCTCTTCTCTTCACCCGACCAACTCAACTCTTTCTTCCCACGCTCCCGTGTATATAAATCCCTCCTCATTAACTCCTCGTGAATTAAGCAGGCGACCTGCAGTCGCCTAACGCCCGTGGCTTTCCTCGTTATCGTCTCAATCTCCCGGTCTGCCCGGCGTCTTTTCCCCGCCTGCATTTGCAGCCGGCCAAATTACTGCCATGGATCTTAAAGAGCCGCCTCCTTTCCGTTGCTCCCTCTCACCACCGCACCTGGCCGCCCCGATGCGACCTCTCAGTGTCTGTAACCCGCACACCGCTTGCAAACCCCACCCCACCCACTACACAAGTGACACCTCTCCCACAGTCCCACTTCTCCCGGTAGTGCTTGTTGTCTGACCGCTGAAGTAACTGAACTGTGGCTCATTTGAAGGCCAATTTCGACAAATTATTATGGAGGTTCCCTAACCCCCCGATTCCTATGCGTACGTAACATTGTCAGTAGACCCCCCATACACAAGTGTACGCATTTGGGTTAACCACCCCCTCCCCCCTCCATGCGTACGTACTAAATGGATGGCCCCCAGCGCAGCAGAGCACTAACCGCTACACTACCACTCCAAACAAACAAAGTTCCCCCGTATAGCCTTAACAGACTGTAGGGGCAAGTGCTGTTAGCGAGCACCTATGAAGGCCAGAACGGTACACGAGGGGGTGGGTGGCCAGCACCACGCCCGACTGCCTTTGTCTCCCCAGTGGCGATGTTTACACATCGCACCGGGTACTCATTTGAGGCTGAGTCGACCTAGGGAGGCCCAGGACCAGTTCAGATCATCGTCACTGGTGTTGGCCGTGAGCGGGAATCAAACTCGGGTCACCGGGTTCGTTGCGCAGTGTAGCGCTAACCACTACACTACCGCTCCACACTCACTTTCACACACACGTCCACACACACTCACTTTCACACACACACACGCAAACGCTGACTGCCATCGTGGGTCCAACTCATCACCTCGCGGACGATCGCAACTCTGAACAGCATGTTTCCGCGGTTCAGTTTGCAATTGCGAGTTCACGTTTTAAGTCAAAGCTATTTTGAAATATATTTCATGGAAGCTGGTTGTAAGGACGCGGTGTTTGTAAGTCGGACGTTCGTAATTAGTCTTCACCAATAGTAGCTAGTTGTAATTACTGGCGAAACGTCGTACTCAGATTGTAAATGTTGTGGCTTGGCTCTCCAACACGCCGGTGTGCTGTACCAGTGACGAATTGGTGACGTTCTATACTATTTGGTTCTATTCGGTAAAGTCACGTAGGTAAAAAAAATGAAACAACAAAAATCACGACGTTTCGGCCACAACACAAGAGGCCTTCATAAAGTGAAGGGACCGTGCTATCACGAAGACAGCGTTGGAATAAAGAAAGTCAAGCCAGGTTGCGTCCTTTAAGCTGTGTGGGATGAAACCAAACGCTTTGACAAAGGAATTAGCATAAACTGCTGATAGAACACTTAAAGTGCTGGTAGAACACTTAACACGGGGGGGGGGGGGAGAGGAATTTGACAATGCAAACGTTGTCTTGAAGGGAAATAAGCTGCTGTGAAAGTTTGGTATATCACTACTTGGATAAATATACTGTACCATTGAAATTAGTTTAATGTTTGGTATGATTTAGAACATCTTTCCAATGATTGCTTAATTTGAAACCATCTTCTCGGTTGAAATTGTGTCTGTGTTTGTAAATCTGAATTGCCTCGTGTACAAATCTCTGATGATAACCTGTGGGTTTGCAAAGGACCTGGGTATTGGAGAACACCATATCGTGATCACCCACAGCGTTGTAACAGTGGTCAGCCACGGCAGAAGAATTCGTTCTGCCGTGTTTCAAATCTGATTTGTGCTCGCGAATTCGGTCAGAGACATGTCGCTTCGTCTCCCCGATATAGCAATCACCACAGGTGCAGCTCAATTTGTAAACCCCGGGGTACTGTAAGTCCGGAATGACATCCTTCACGTATGGGATCAGGTCACGGATTTTGTGTACTGTATTGAACCGGACCAGGATCTTGTGTTTGTTTAGAATTTTGGAGGTCTTTTTAGTAACGCCTGGTATATATGGTAGTGTGATTGTTTTGACCAGAGATAAAGGCAACGCTACTGTTATTATGGATAAAGATTCATACAACAACAAAATCCAGAATCTGCTCAACGATGGAAGTTACTCAAAAATAAAAAAATGACCCCACTAATAGCCTAGCGATAAAAACCAACAAGATCATCACAAGTTCGACCTCCCTAATCGACCCAACTAATCGTCCCTCCCTAAAACCTTCTGCTGCAAGACCCCCTAGATTCTATGGTCTTCCCAAGATTCATAAAGAAGGCACCCCACTTCGACCCATCGTATCCACGATCAACTCTCCTACCTATAAACTAGCCCGTTTTCTGTCAGATACCTTGCTGCCTTTAACTGGCAAGACCGCCTCAGCAGTACTTAACTCAGCCCAATTGGTCTCTATGGTCAAAGACGTTGTACTGTCCCCTGACGATATCCTTGTCAGCTTCGATGTGGTCTCTTTGTTCACCAAGGTCCCAGTACCTGATACCATT